TAGCCAAATTGTAATTAAAAAGTCCAACCAAAAATACATCTAAATGAGCTTAAAAAACAACCCAATTTCATTTTTAACACAACAAAAAAAAATATAAAAAAAAAAAATAAAAGATCAAGCGGGTGAACAGTGGAACGGTTGCCAAACCGTTCCACAAAATTAAGCATGCCGTTTCCGTCAGATTAAGAGAGTGGGTTGGAGAGGATTTTCCTCCACAATTGCCGTTTCCGCCAGATATGCCGTGCGGGTTGAAGATGCTCTATGGCACATTTTGGTGCTCCTCAATGAGAAAATGGGCTGAGATTGAGAAGGGCCCATTTCAAAATGGAACCCATGTACAAGATGTCATGACATACAAGATGGTAAGGATTAAGACCATTTTCAATCCTTATCTCTACTCTAGTGTAGAGTTTACTATACTCTAGAATAGAGTTAACCAAAAATCAAATTCGATCTCCAACCGTTCGCGCTACATTGTACTCCACATATATTGTTCATAATATTTTAATTTATTTAACATGTCAAAATATATTTAATTGCACATATTATTTTATAAAATACAATATATTATGATGTTGGCTGGTCTTCCACTGGTTTGAAATATTGTTCCACAAAGAATTATTATTTTTGTATTATTTGATTTATTTTAAACTAATTCAATATATAAAAATATATTTTTAAAAAAATAGTATTTTTATATAATTCTCAATTTAAATTATAAAGTTAATGGTAAAAACTTTGTCAATTAATAAAATTTAAGATAAATCAATTGCATATATATAAAAATAAAATGAAAAAAGAGTAATGAATAGTACCGTGTCAGCGTTGGAGAACAATTTTGTCTCTACTATAGCGTAATACGTTGGAGTTGCGCAGCATTGGAGTTGCTCTAAGGACAATCACACTAGAGCTGGGCTCATCTATATTTATATGTAAATCATTAATTTATATTTATTAATCTTAGATTAGGTAAATTTGAAGAATTGATTGTGAGTGTTTGAAAAATGATGTGGAAATAAAATAATTGTTTGAAATATTGTGAAAACTTTAGTCAATATATTAGATAAATGATTGATACCACATTACCTAAAAAAAAAAACAAATCTCACCATGAATGGTTAAGCAAAGAAATTACCAAATAGAAATAAAAAAATTAAAAGTAAAAAGAAAATGTTTCAAAAAATTCTATATTTAGAAAAAAATATCTTATAACGAAAAAATGTTTATAGACTAATTACTACAAGAATAATCATTTGAAAATTACAAATACATATAAAAATGTACATAATACAAAATAAAAATTTTTGTAATATGCATATTTTAAATAAAAAAGTAATGTAATTAAAAAATAGTAAATTTGATAACTTCAAAATAATATACACTAGATTCTTTTTAGATTAACTATTGGTATATACTTGCCACAATTTTTTAACTCTATCCTCACTTATTTAGGAAGAAATAATATATTGTAATGAGACATGGGTAAGAGAAGAGAATGATGAAAATAATTTTGTGAATATTATTTATTGATAATGATTGAATATGCCAAATTTTATTTTTATTTTAATTCTAAATCGACACTCTACAATCATTTTATAACAGACAAAATATGCACATAAATCATATTTTAAACTTTTATAATCATAAAAAATATTAAACAAACTATTTTTATACTATCAATATTTCTTCATTGATTTAATTTATATGATTATTATTATTTTCTCGTACATTGTACATGCTACGTACTATTTTATCAATATTTATAAGTTAAATTTGAGCTTTAACTCGAATCAAGTTAAAAAAAATTCAAAAAATGATATAAAACTCATAAATTTGAACCTAACGAACCTTAACGAGCCAGCTCGTTATCTAAATAAGTTTTAAATAAGTTCGAGCTCGAGCTTAACTTGTTAATCAAATAAGTTGAACTAAGCTTTCGAGCAACTCGATTAATGTAACCGCTAATATTTAAATTCAAGGGACTTGGCCATTAGTATTCTTTGAGTTTTGACTTAGAGATTTTCAAATGTCCATCTTTCTTTTGTTTTATCAATTATTTATTTATTTATTTATTTTTTCTTTTTCACCTAAACCATCTCATGAGTTCATCTATTGTTTGTACAGCATACAAACTGTGCTGAAAACTGTGCCAGTGACAGAATCTTTTATAATTTTTTATATATAATATTTGGCAATTTTATTGTGTAGTGGTTTGGAAACTGAAACGTTTTAAAATTCAAATGAGAACAGGATTACTACTAGCTAATATATTGCATGTAAGGACAAATTAAATAGTTTGGGGATATAAATAAGTTACAGTTGAGTCGAGCTCAAGTTCCTGATATTCACTTTATTGAGTCAAACCATGTCGAGCTCTGCTCGTTTATCAATATTTTGAACTCGAGAGTTTTAATGAGTCGAACTTTAAAATTTTAATTAACATATTCTATATTCCAGCCGAACCGAGCTAACTCATTAACCAATTTGACTCGTTTGCTAAACAGGTCGAGCCAAACTCGAGGCTTAACGAGTCGAGCTCACAAGCAACTTGTTTTGTTTAACAGCTCTACAACGAATGGTTATGGAAAAAGAACGATTAAAGTTAAAGTTATATATAATTGGCATAAAATGAAATTGTAACTTTGAAAAAGTATAATATGATGATTAGAAATCTATTTGTTTAAACTCATATGAAGCCCATATGAAGGAAAGTCCATATGAACCCCAAATGAGGTTCCATCCCAAAACCAATTGGTGAAAGGATGAGTAGCCCATTAAACTTATTAAGTGGGTCTATTTTCCATGTATTAACAATGTGAGACAACTCACAAGTGATATTCTAACACGCCCCCTCACTTGTGAGTCTGATATCATGTCTCTAACCCAGACACAAAGTGGACTCTGATATCAAGTCTCTAACACAGACACAAAGTTGGTCGGACTCTGATATCATGTCTCAAACCTGGCTCCAGGCACAAAGTGGGCTCTGATATCATGTCTCAAACCTGGCTCTGATACCATGTAAGAAACTGGGGGAAAAGGAAAGCCCATATGAAGCCCAAATGAGGTTCCATCCCAAAACCAATTGGTGAAAGGAGGAGTAGCCCATTAGACTTATAAGGTGGGTCTATTTTCTATGTGTGAACGATGTGGGACAACTCACAAGTGATATTCTAACACTCTCTTGCAATCAGTCAATAAAATGAAAAAAATAAATAAATTTGTACATATAATATTTGGCCATAAAATTTTGTACCCTTTACCCCCCCAAAAAAAGATTTGAATTAGATATTGCCCATAGCCATAAATACACTGTATTTCTTGGGAGCAATTGATGAGAAAACATGGGCTGCCAACAAAAATTTCACATATAATGTAGCAACAATGCTGCATGGTTTAAAATCCTAACAGCATTTTATATTCTGGTCACTTGTTACAAGAACTCACACTATGTACTTTCATCCCCAATTTATGGCCTCTCATATTTGAAGTCTACCTCCAAAGGAGCTACACTACATATAAATAGCTTCTTAAGAAAAAACAAAATTTTTGAAAAGTATAATAGTAATCTAACCGTTAGGCCCACCTAGCGACAATTTACTAAGAAAGCATATAAAATTTTGACTTAATTGCTGGTAATATCACGACCTTATAATTTTTAGCAATTTTAACCAATTTTTTGGAATTTAGCAAGAATAACCTAACCATGTCTTCTCTTTGCATCCCGAACCCAGAATGAAATGACAATCACAGTTTCGCCAGCGTGTCCGTCAATTCAACCTAAAGTTCATGCTAACATGTAAGTTGTTATGTATAGCTTTTGTAGGGTTTTGGGCGTTGTAAGAGATGTTGATGTCGTGGCGGCGGCAGTAGTCCACCTTGTTCGTGAACAACTTCATGAATCAGGAGGAGGTAATCGCCAATTAGGTCCTTACACGGCATCGGCGAACAACCCGTCACATGAAGGTCCGGCTCTCGGCGTCAGCGGCGAACGACAAGTGTTGTCTGAGCCACTTCTGCCGCTTCTCATCCCACCAAGTCTCGTCACTGTATTTCCGTCGGGAAGCGTAACCGTTGGGTCGTCTGGGAAAAATACTCAATCTACAGCTGGGGAAGCAGTCTATAATGTATAAATTTATTTTACCACGTCATTGTTTAACATACCATGTCAGCACGAACTTTAGTCAAAACACAGGTTGAATTGACGGACACTCTGGCAAAATTGTGAACGTCGTTTCATCTTGGGTTCGGATTAATGCACACATGAGACAACGTCAGAACATTCTTGCTAAATTCTAAAAGTTCGGTTGAAATTGTCAAAAGTTGTAAGGTCGTAATATTACCAGCAAGTAGGCTCAAAACTTTTTAACACATACTATTAAAGCTAACATATGGAAAGCTAGCTTAGAGGCCAACAACTTGCCCCAAGGTAAAATCTGAAAGAAAAGGGAAATGAAGTGAAGGGAAAAAGTATTGTACAGTGTGTTGGCATGGGGAAAGGTTGAAAAAAAGTCCATATCATCATAGTTGTATTTTTTAGCTACTCCACACAAACCTGAAGGGGGCCCCCCCAAATTTTTGAGCATTTCTTACTCTTATTGTAGTAGCACAAAAAATAATATTACAAAGATTCCCACTTTCTGCTTTTTGCTTAACTGAACCAATTCAAGCAGAGACAAATTTAATACAACATTTTTTTATTTTTTATTTTTTTTAACAGTACAATCTTGACAGCAAGTAGTACAAATGTGAAAGAAAAACACAACCCATCCCACTTCATCATTTCCCCATACTTGTAAAAAAAAAAAAAAAAACCATCATTTTCAACTTTCAAATTATCCTCAAAACACTCTCTCAACTGACCCTTATCTTGTTTTTGGGTCACCAAAACAAACATCTCAATAGTTGTTAACCCTCTCTTGATATCCCCCCTTTTGTTCTCTTACTATTCATCTTCAAATAAGTAGGAGTTTTTGCACTATGCAGCCTTGCAAACAAAAATGAACTCCAAATTTTCAAAGTCCTCCTTCCTTTGCATTTTGCTTCTGTTTTTTACCACTTCACTTGGCCTCAACTTGGATGGCACCCTTCTCCTTGCCTTCAAATACTCCATCATCAGTGACCCTTTATCAGTTCTTGATGACTGGGACTACACCGATCCCAGTCCATGCTCGTGGACCGGGATAAAATGCGCAGCGGTCGAAAATACCCCTAACGACATCCCGTTCGATAACCTCAGAGTAGTTTCGCTTACCCTCCCTAGCTCAAAACTTCTCGGTTTTTTGCCGGAGGATTTAGGCTTCATCACACACCTACAAACTCTCGATTTGTCCGATAATTTCTTGAACGGCCCCTTGCCGCGATCATTCGTCAATGCCTCGGAGCTTCAAGTCCTATCCTTATCAAACAATGCAATCACCGGCCATATACTCCCGATAAAAGTCGAGTCCTTACGAATCTTTGACCTTTCCTCGAACTCATTGACCGGGCCTTTGCCTCCCGAGTTCGGGGGAAGCAATCTGAAGTTCTTGAACCTTTCTTCGAACAAGCTCTCGGGCTCTATCCCCCAAGAGCTTGCTCGGAAAATCCAAGAAAATGGTACGATCGATCTCTCATTCAACGATCTTTCCGGCGAAATCCCGGATTTGGCGCCCTTTTCGAATCAAAAAATCGAGTCCTTCCAAGGAAATGTAAACTTATGTGGAAAACCACTCAAGAAACTATGCGTAATACCTTCAAATATTTCTAACCCGCCAAATTTCGAAACGAGCAATACTTCTTCTTCTTCTTCCTCTCCGGCTATTGCAGTCATGCCTAAGCCCATTAATAACTCAAAAAACCCTTCTCAAGATTCTTCTTCCACTCGAAACAATGGAATTTCATCACGGCATGGCCTAAAACCGGGCGCGATAGCCGGAATAACGATCGTCCCTTTAGCCGGAATCGGAATTTTCGCAACGATAATCTTCCTATACATCCATCAGAAGAAGAAACGAGCAAACGACGCTTTTAGCACGTACGAATTCAAGAAAGACACAAATCCCTCATCATCATCAGTATTAGTAAAAGAGAAAGAGACCAAACATCTCATTCTCAACCTTAATCTCCCCACACTGTCCTGTTTAAGCACGAAAAATGAGGGACGAGACAAATGTGATGTTGTTATAAAAAACCTCGTGATGGTCGATAATGGAGAAACCGAGCTCGATCCCGACACGCTGTTTCGAGCCTCGGCTTACGTTCTCGGGTCGAGTGGACCGAGCATCGTGTACAAAGCCGTGTTGCGTGATGGGACCTCGTTTGCCGTGAGGAGGATTGGTGACGTGGCATGTGGTGGGGGGATGAAGGAGTTCGAGAGGCGGGTGAGGAGCATCGCTAAAATGCACCACCCGAATTTGGTTCGGGTCAGGGGTTTCTACTGGGGAGATGATGAGAAGCTTGTGATTTGTGACTATGTGTCTAATGGCAGCTTGGCTAATATTGGTTACAGTAAGTTTTTTTCTTTTCCTTTCAATTATTGCCTTTACATTTTTTACTTTTGTAGTATGTTTTTTTTAGGTAAATTGTTAGTCATAGTAAGGGGAGATGCTACGGTCCTATTACGGAACCATTCCGTCGAGTTTGTAACCGTTAGATCAACTATTCCCGACGGTTACATGATGATCTAACGATTACAAACTCCGACGGAATTGTTTCGTAACGGAACCGTT